TCAAAAGAAACCAGCATGGCTGCATAAAGAACTCTCTGACAAATTGAAAGATAAAAAGGACAAGTATAGAAAGTGGAAAGAGGGGAACATAACTAAGTCAGAATATCAGCAAATAGCCCGAGCCTGCAAAGATGAAGTGAAGAAAGCCAAGGCTCAAAATGAACTAAGGCTTGCGACCAAAGTCAAAAATAACAAAAAAAGCTTCTTTCAACATGTAAAAAACAAGAAAAAAGTGAAGGAAACGATTGGTCCATTAGTGGGTGGAAGTGGCAAGAAGGTGACAAACAACAGGGAGAAAGCAGAACTATTTAACTCGTGTTTTGCATCTGTCTTTACACAAAGGGAAAAAACAGACCAACCTATCAAAAATAGTGCCATAAAAAACAAAACAGAAACACAAGTTAAGATAGGCAAGAAAATGGTTAGGGAGCACCTGTCCAGCCTAGATGAGTTCAAATCGCCAGGACCAGATGGATTACACCCCAGAGTTCTCAAGGAACTGGCAGATGTAATATCAGAGCCACTGAACTATATTTTTCAAAGATCCTGGAACACAGGGGAACTACCAGAGGACTGGAAAAGAGCTGATGTAGTTCCCATCCTCAAAAAAGGAAAAAAAATGGATCCAGGAAATTACAGACCTATCAGCCTGACCTCAATACCTGGGAAGATCCTGGAAAAGATAATCAAACAACGAATCAACGAACACCTAGAGGCAAACAAAGTCATTACTAAAAGCCAACATGGGTTTGTCAAAAATAGATCATGCCAGACAAATCTTATTGCATTCTTTGACCAAGTGACAAAATTAGTGGATCAGAGGAATGCTGTGGACATAATTTACTTGGACTTCAGTAAGGCATTTGATAAAGTAGATCACAACCTACTACTTGACAAGATAGAAAAATGTGGGGTAGACAGAACCACCACCAGATGGATCCGTAGCTGGCTGACCGGCCGTACTCAGCGAGTGGTCCTCAATGGAACTGCATCTATATGGAGGGAAGTGTGTAGTGGGGTGCCCCAGGGCTCTGTTCTGGGCCCAGTACTCTTCAACATCTTCATCAATGACTTGGATGAAGGGATAGATGGGGAACTCATCAAATTTGCAGACGACACCAAGCTGGCAGGAATAGCCAACACTCCAGAAGACAGGCTTCAGATACAGAAGGATCTGGACAGACTTGAACACTGGGCACTAACTAACAAAATGAAATTCAATGGTGAAAAAAGCAAGGTTCTACATTTAGGCAAGAAAAACCAAATGCACAAGTACAGCATAGGTGGCACCATGCTCAATAGTAGTAACTGTGAGAGGGACCTCGGAGTCCTAGTAGACAATCCCTTAAATATGAGCCAGCAGTGTGCTGCAGCTGCCAAAAAGGCCAACACAGTGCTAGGCTGCATTAACAGAGGGATAGAATCAAGATCACGTGAAGTATTAATACCACTCTTCAATGCCTTGGTAAGGCCACACTTGGAATACTGCATCCAGTTTTGGTCACCACGATGTAAAAAAGATGTTGAGACTCTAGAAAGAGTACAGAGAAGAGCAACAAAGATGATTAGGGACTGGAGGCTAAAACATATAAGGAACGGTTGCTAGAATTGGGTATGTCTAGTTTAACGAAGAGAAGGACAAGGGGGGACATGATAGCAGTATTCCAATATCTCAGGGGCTGCCATAAAGAAGAGGGAATTAAGCTATTTTCCAAAGCACCTGAAGGCAGGACAAGAAGCAACGGGTGGAAACTAATCAAGGAGAGAAGCAACCTAGAACTAAGGAGAAACTTCCTGACAGTGAGAACAATTAATCAGTGGAACAGCTTGCCTCCAGAAGCAGTAAATGCTCCAACACTGGAAGTTTTTAAGAAGAGACTGGACAGCCATTTGTCCGAAATGGTGTAGGGTTTCCTGCCCGAGCAGGGGGTTGGACTAGATGACCTCCAAGGTCCCTTCCAACTTTACTATTATTATTATTATTATTATTATTATTATTATTATTATTATTATTATTATTATTCTGAAATGGTGGATGTGATTAATTCCATTTAGTATTTCAAGGCATCCACTATCCCCAATGGAAAGATCACTGGATAAAAATTTGTCTCTATTTTCTTACAGGATATGAAATCTCAAGGGACCCCTGTTATCTTTCACATTTGTCAAATTATGAATAATGATTAATTACAGTAGAGGCTGGATATAATTGCATACCCTTCATTCATTCTATAATACTTCACATATTTTAAAAACTGTTTGCAAACTAATCAGGATGACAGGTACAAATTAGGAATGAAAGCTATTGTACTCATTTGAGGGAAACATCCTTGATTGCATTTCTGTAATTTCTGAAAGGAAGGATTCAAACATTAGGTGGTATCAAACCTTTGGAGAAATTTAAATCAGTAGGACTTCATTCATACAGCGTGGTAATCGTTATTTTGAAAAGCAAATTCCTCAAATTCCAAAAGCTGCATCTTACATTACAACCAATAAGATAGGTAATCCTGTGTACAAGAACTATCAATCATTTGTACCACTAGTGATGTGCCTGACTTTTTTTAAAAAAAAAACATAGGAATTTGAATCTGTCTACCATTACAATTACTGTACATAAGTTCAAGCAATGGACCAATCTACATTACTCCAAACTCCCAACTGCTATCGCCGTTTGACCATACTGACCTAGATTACAGCCTACATAGGAATGTTAGACAACACCCATAAAAATATCAGACTGGGCTACTATACAGGAAATTCATTTTTTTGCTCTAAGTATTTCTAACTCACACCCACTTGTTATTATTTGGCAAGTATTTTTCAGAAGTGGTTTGCCCTTGCTTGTTTCTGAGGGTTGAGAAAGACTGACCCAAGGTCACCCAGCTGTACCTAAGGCAGAATCAGAACTCAAAGTCTTCCAGGTTCTAACCAAGTACCTTAAACACTGCACTAAACTGGCTCTCATGCCATTTAACTCCACTTTTTAAAATTGCATGTTATTTGCTACAACATCCTGGAAACTGGACTGGTGGCTAAATGCACAAGATTCATTTCAACCGCTTATGACTTGGTTCATGTATCACACTAAATCACACTATTTGTTTTCATAGATTTTCATGGGTATAGGTATGCAAGTCTTGGTGTATTCGGGTCTTTTCCTGTGTAAGATTGAGAGTATCTTGGCGACGTTTCGATGACGAGTGGGACCTCATCGAAACGTCGCCAAGATACTCTCAATCTTACACGGGAAAAGACCCGAATACACCAAGACCTGCATATATATTGCTCCTAGAAGCACGAAGCTGAAAACACTAGCCTAAAGATGACGAATGAGACTTCGTCGAAACGTCGCCAAGACACTTCCGATTTGATGCGGGAGAAAATTATATATATATATATATATATATATATATATATATATATATATATATATATATATATATATATATATCATTTGAGCAGCAGAGGCACGAAGCTGAAAGCACCAGCCTGAAGATGACGAATGGGACTTTGTCGAAACGTCGCCAAGACACTTCCAATTTTACGTGGGAGAAAACCCGAACAACCAAAGACCTACATACAAACACCCGCGAAAACCTCAGAAAACATATATATATATATATATATATATATATATATATATATATATATACATACACACACGTATATAATTACTGTTAAAATACCATGATTTAACTTGAATATATTTTTAAGTTTCATGCAGATTGCAGTTTTGTAAATATAGTTTCCATCCAGCATTGTAACATTGAAATGAAAGATAGCAGATGCCTGCAAATAAAGCAAAGGTGAACTGTTGCCCAACAGTTATTATTAAAGCTACAACTCCCAGCATCCTTTATCTTAGTTATGTTGTAGTAAAGTTATAATCCAGTTATTCAAATAGTGCCTTCCTCAATTAAAGCCCAGCAAAGACAGAAATACATGAACAAACAGACATTAATTTTTCACATTGACTTTATAGATAAAATATTGTAAGACATTTTTAAATTACAAAATAAATATCTCCTCTCTATGTGATCTGATTCTGAGCCATCAACACCTTTGTATAGTTAAAACTACATGCTTCAATGGACTTGGTTCAAAAATATTCTCATAGGACTTGATACTAGCATATAAAGATTTTATAGCATGCTGTAAAATGGAAAACTCTCAGAGAAAACTTTTTGTGGTTAAACAACAATTCCTTTAACAGGATGTCATTCTTTTTCTTCCAAGCTAACTGAATACTTGAATGTTTAGTTTAAAAAGAAAAAATGAGGCAATATGCTGATTAAGATGCTAAGCTTCCTACTTTAGAGTGGGTTGAATAAAGCTAGAATGTTAAAAAAAAACCTAGAACTCTGAACAATGTTTGAATTTCTGTTTATTTTTTCATTTTAAATTGGGTGTTTTGTTGTGTCTTAGTACCTCCAGATTCATTCAAGAGAAATGGGGAGGAGGAGGGTATTAATATAGTGGTTAAGTGTTGCATGAGTCCTGTGGAGACCTAGACCCTAGCCTACCTTTAGGACATAAGATCCCTGATTAGCTTTGAATGAGTCTGAGGCCTGCTATTATTAGGGTAAAAATGAAGGGAATGGAAATTGTCTTGAGCTCTTGAAGTAGCAGACTGTAAAACTAATAAGTAAATAGAACTGGAGGTTCTAAATTAATTTCCAGGCTACAGCGCCGGAACCCAAAATTTGTAAGAGTGTGTTTTCTTTCTCTAACATTTGTCTGAGAAGCAAGTGAGGTATACAAAGTACTTTTGCTACTCTTAATGGGAGGAGCAGTCTTCTGCCTATCGAAATAAAGGGGATCTAAATGATATTTTGTAAATTTGATTCAAAAATGGCAACTTCTGTCCCATGAAACTGATTTTTCATGCCTCAGAAAATTGTGCTAATATTCCAGCAAAACACTTATCTGGAAAACTCCCATGAATTTTGTCCTGTGCTGTGCAAATATTTTATAAGGACTGAACATGTTGTACTTACGGACAAGGTAAGATGAATCTCCATATGATTACAGTTTTTGGAAAGCCTTTTCCTAAGTGCTCTCACTGCATCCTTGGGTCTGTGGTTAAAAGAAATAAAATCAGAAAACATACTGATTGTTAACTAAAATTCTACACACGTATTATTTCTCTTACAATGTTAGGTGAAAATAAGGAATCAAGATTGCTGAAATGAACCCCCCCCCCCAAGAGGAAAATTAAATCAAGACGGGAATAAAGCAAGGTAGCCACTTCAGTGACAAAGATGAGTTGTGTGTTGAGAGTACATACACTAGAGGCGGGCAACTAAGGCAACTTTACGATTTATGGATTTCAACTTCAGAATTCCCGAGCTGGCTTGGACAAGTCCTTGCACAAGTCTGAGAGTTGAAGTCCACAGGTCATAGAAGTTCCATAGTTGCCCACCTGGCATACACTATGTCCTGCCAAAGATTAAATTTTTTCACTCCATTATTGAAGTTTGTACAATAGATAGTTAATTTCCAACATCCGCATGACCTGATGTCTGAGATGATTTGTGTTTGTTAATTGACTGCAAAGCATCCCTATTACAGAGGTTAATAGGGGACCGTACATAAGCTTTGCTGAAATGGTTTCCCAAACTCAATGCGTTGTTTCTGTCTACAGTAGAAGTACTGTAGGAACCCTAGAGGCTTATCAAAATGTTGAATTCCAATTCCCATCAGCCCCAAATGCTGTAGCATGCCTAACAGTCAGTATTGTAAGTAAGATGCCTTTCCCGGAGGCATGGAAAAATCATCATCATCATCATCAATGTGAGAGAAAATAAAAACAAAACAATAAAAGATTATATTCAGAGTGACACTGAAATAGATTCCGAATCTACTCCCAACTCCTAATAGCCTCCAAAGTCTTTACTGAAAATCAAGCCTGCTTCTATCTGCATATCTTTACCCTTTAGAGTAACCTGTATTATCTTGGCCAAAATAGTGTAACATTATCAACAAAGGCAAAATTGATGAATTAACATTTCCAAATATAAATAAGCTAAGACAGCAGGCCATGCTAGTGTTGAAAATTATTTATTGTATGAACGTCTGTAGGAGAACAAGAAATTTTATCTACAATTTCCTTTATGTTCCTATCTAACCCTTTAGTGCAGGCAGGCATGTCAAACTGCCGGCCCACAAGCCGGATGCGTCATGCCGAAACCGCGCCCACCCCATTGCCAGCAATGGAAAAAAAGTCACGATATGTCGCGACACGTCACATGATGTTTTGAGTTTGACACCCCTGCTTTAGTGTACTTCATCACTAACTAGACTCAACACCAATAGCATCAGTTAAAAAAACATGCTTTATTAATTTAATAATCTGTCTGATTTCCCAAAAAAAAAATCCACTCCAGATAATTGCATATAGGTTTGTAATTGTGCCTTATCAATTTTTGAGTTCAATATCATGAATAGCCATAATTGCTTAGCCATGGCTTGTTAAATAAGAACCAATTAGCTGGTTTTACAAAACGTATTAAGGCAAGCCACAAGCCTGGAGTTAAAAACATACTGATTTTTTAATAAATGCTAAGCCACCCTAAAGCTCATCATGATGTATGAATCAGGCCACTATCACACAGGACAACTAAGGAATACAGTACATTACAATACATTAATTGCATTTTAGCTACTTCCACATTTGCAACAGATTAGCTTGTTGGAGGGAAGGGAGGAAGGAAAGATTGATTTTTCTCTTCTCTGGGCCAAATACCTAGAATACAAAATTACTCCGTGCAAGGCCAAGACATTAACATCAGGATCCTGGCTCAATTTAAGTCTAATTATAGGATGCTTCAAAACGATCAAGGCAGACATGCTATTAAACAAACTGTACTCCACCTTAAAAAAGGCTGTGCTAGGTTATCTGTGTGCTTTGCACCTCCTTATATATTTATGAAAAGGAAGAAAATTTGGTTTACAAATTTTCTGTGAAAAATGGAGATCTATAAATATTTTTATAAATATTAAAAATAACAAAATATTTGGTTTTGAGTGGAATGAGGTAATTAGGGCTCATACCTCTTATCTCTCACATAAGCTTCGTCTAGTGCAGTGTTTTTCATGTGTAGACTTCAACTCCCAGAATTCCCTAATCAACATGCTGGCTGAGGAATTCTGCGAGTTGAAATCTATACATCTTAAAATTGGCAAGGTTGAAAAACCTTGGTCTAGTCCAGTGGTGGCGAACCTATGGTACGCGTGCCAGAGGCGGCACTCAGAGCCCTCTCTGTGGGCATGCATGCCATTACCCCAGCCCCACCTCCCCTCGTGGCCCCCTCACCAGCAGCCCCCAGAGAGTCGCCCCTGGCACGGCGCATGCAGAGCAGCGCAGCCAAGGACATGGCAGTCAGGTAGCAGGGACATAATTCTGCCCTTGTGCCCCATTGTGCGCAGATGATACTGTGGGGTGCAGGCAGAGGGTGTGGCCGCCAAAGCGCTGCAGGGCTGCCTGGGCGATCTGCTGTGGCGGGTCGTGGACATGGTGGGTGGCCCTGCAGTCATGTGGGAATGGGTGGGGAGTGGAATAGGGGCGGGCAGGGGGCAGGGCAGTTTTTGGGCACTCGGTCTCTAAAATGTTTACCATCACTGGTCTAGTCCATTGCTTTGATTCTATTAGTAATAGGCCTCTACGTTTTTCCACTAGTCTCAAAGGCAACCCCCTCCCCCTACTCCTTCTGTAATAGCTCTGCATAGGGAAATTTTCCATAGTTTTCAATGTCTTCTTTAAAGGGGCAGGAGAGAACCAACAGAGGAGCTTCTTTGGTGGTAAGATTTTGAAGAAACAGAGCTGAGGAAAGGCATAGCAGCCATGGCTTAAGATAGCATGTAAAAAGCATGTAAAAAAAAAGAGCTCTTGGTACAGAGAAGTCTTGATACGATTCAGTGTTTCCACCTCCATCACACAGGACAAAAAAACAGCATGCTCAAGGGTTTGTTTAGTTCTTTTGCATTTTGGAGGGCATTATATTTCTAACTCAACTTTCAATTAGAAGCTAAAAGTGGTGTGTGTGTATCCTATTTTCCATAAAACAACAATCCTTTGAGGTAGACTGGGCTGAGAAACAGCTTCCGTGACTGAGGTCAGGAACCTGGGTCTCCCTACTCTTAATCTGATATTTTATTGATTACTTCACACTGGCTCATTTGTGGGATTACGTTGTATTTTTAAAAGATGAAATGGCACGCTTAAGCCTTGCAGAAATGGCACGCTTAAGCCTTAAGCATCAACAATGGACTCCAAATTGAGAATAGCACATCTTCCTTCCCCAGTCATTACCATTTTCTTTAGAGGGACGATTGAAAGTATCCTGTCATACTGTATTACTGTATGGTTTGGAAATGTTTTGGATAGGAAGGCTGTGCAGAGAGTGGTGAGGATGGCAGAAAAGATTACTGGATTTTCATGTCCTTCTATTCAGGACTTGGCATATAAGTGCTGCTTGACCAGAGTCCACATATTGTCATGCATGCTACACATCTTCTCTATGACGAGTTTTCTTTGTTACCTTCTCGGAGGAGGCTTCACAGTATCCGAAGCAGAACAACTAGATTCCGTAATAGCTTTGTATTATATGGCATCAACCTAGTTAACTTTCAAGACTCTTTTTTCCACTATGTGTTTCCACTATTGTGATTAATATACAAACACACATACGTCTCTCTCTCTCTCTCTCTGTGTGTGTGTGTGTGTGTGTGTGTGTGTGCGTGTGTGTGTGTATGTATATTGAGAAAAGTAGTCGAATACCGGGATAAATATAAAAACAACTGTTTAATAAACTAACAACTGTTTGATAAACTTAGCTTTTGTCGGCTAAGTTTAGAGTGGAATGCATGCAACATGAATATACCCGGGATTCGCATTTTTAGTATAATTAGAGACAATATATATGTGTATAGATAAATAGATAGATAAATAGATAGATAGATACGGTAGATAGATAGAGAGATATTTTTGAGAATGGGCATCAGAATTTCATTTTTTTAACAGGTCCCAGTGTGTTCATAGAAAAAAGTGAAAATATTTTAAATTCAAGCCCTGCTTACTTTTGAAAGGTGGCCTTCAAATGCTACATGAAGCCTTATGTGGCCTTCAAGATACTTCTGACTATGTAATACAAAAGGAAAAGCATGACTTTAGAGCCTTTCCCCCCCTCCACCCCAGGGTGAAATTTCTCTGGCAAGAGATCATTTCACTTTTTAATACTTCATAAACTGGCATATTCTGCTGCTCCTGATGACTCTTAGCTTAACAGTGGTTATCTTTGTTGCTCATCTAGATTAAACGATAACAATACCAACCTTTAAATGACCAGCTTTTAGTTACATAATTTCAAATGCTGAACTGGACATAGGTTGGAGGGCTGCTAAACACTGGCTATTTCACTGATTGACACATAAGCCAAACCAAAACTCATATACTCCTATTCCCCCTGTGAACATGGCTTCTCTTTAGTCAAGCCCACAGATGTCCATGGTTATACAGACCCAAACAAAGTTGGCAAGTTGCCGGGGGGAACAAAAGCCCAGAATGTTGTTTCTTTTTCATTTCTTCTGCTCTCTGAAAGTTGAACAAACAAGCAAACAAAAAAATCACATAACCTAGGGTATTCTCCCTCAAACTTGTTTCCTCCAGGTGTTCTCAATCTAGTTAGTATAGTTAGGAAAGAGAGGAGGTACTGTATATCTCCCCATGTTGAAGATGGAAAGACTGTTTTAGAGGAGTAACATAAAGTCCTTTGTGGCATACAGTCTGGTTATCCGAGGTACTGACTTCAATTGGTACTGCCTGGTACATTTACATAAAATGGGTACACTATAGATCCCCTCTATTAAAGGTTGTCATCTTATAGCAGGGGTCCCCAGCTCCTGGTATGGGGACTGACACTGAGTTGCGGCATGCCAGAAACTGGGCTGCGCAAATAAGCAAAGCCCCATCTTGGTATTCAGGCAGTACATGAAACCTGTAAGCAATTTCCAACCACGCAAAGAAAATTGGCACATTGTTTAGAAAAGTATCTCAGTTTAATTTAATTTTTTTAAAA